GACGAACCAGTTTAAATCAGGGAAATATAATTAACACTGTAGCAAAATAAATCTATCATATCGATCGGAAATACGATTTGGCACATTTCATCTGAACACATATTGTGCACAGCGAATGCAATAGCGAGTCAGCGTGCAAAACGCCGCCACACTGAGCTACCATAACATCTCAGCGATTTTTGCATAGCACCGAGCACGGAAAAGAGAAAACGGTTATTCATTCACATAAACGAAGCAAATTTATTTAAAGCCCGGACACTCCGTACGTCCAATCTAGCTAAGGTTATCAATAGACTCGACCATGTCATTTGTCGAAACAGATAAAAGACGTTGGCAAAAATGATTAGACTGAATAAGTGAATCTAACGCACGTATTTTACCAACCGACGGTCGCGCGCCTTCAATACCCTTTCCAATTGTCATTGCGCACCTTGGACACACTTTGGGAAGCAATGCATATTTACATCGCCGCCCGAGGTCTCCATTAAACGTGTAGTGCTGACCCAAATAAAATGCTAACCTGACTCTCAATCGCTCACCGCAAAGGACGATTTCGAACAGGCGGTACTGTAGGTCACTTGAGATAAAAAAAAAAAAGAAAAACAAGCTATAGAAACGAGCGTCGTAAAAAAGGGGACCGGCATTTTTATTCCTACCTCCGAACAGAAACGAGCGCCACCCACTGCATCACACAGCGCAGAGGCCGGACTCGGTCACCGCGCGTACATACCAAGCGCGCGCGAGGGATGCAGAAACTTCCTCCGCCGGGAGAACACGGCAGATTTCGGGATCTATTTCACGCAGCGGATAACGCGGGCCTTTTCACACCTCGATACTGGCGCCATCTAGAAGTTGCGCGTTCAACCACGTTTCGAGCCGCGCGCCATCTGGTGGCTGAAACGGACGAATAAATAGAGGTACCGCGCCCTCCTAACAGACAAAGAAAGGAACTTACTTTGGAACGACCGTACCATGATCTTGGCTGTTGAGCAGATTCGACGTAGTTCCACGGCTCACAGTCGCTTCCTTCTTGTTTAGACACATTTGAAACTAAGATAAACTCCACGCATCACGACTAATCGGTGAATTGACCTGAAGACAGAGATATGAAAACCCACACGCCCGGCCAAACGTGCAAAAAAGGGCTGTGGATTGGACTGGATTGCATTGGTCGGCTCTAATGGATATCTAGCGACTTTACGGAAACTATCTTCATCACGCTTGCAATAAAACGACCAGCAATGCAAATTAAAAAAAAAACATTAGTATACACAGTAATAATAACTTATTTAGCATGTAAACATTGCCACAATAATATAAATGCGTCCTGAACACGTAGCAAAAAATTAAATACGAAACTAACCGCACAATGTATCCAACCGACTTCAGCAGACGTATAATCTTTTAAAACATCAGACATTCTGCATGTCGGTTAGGCTTTGGTTGTTAACGCGTCCTGCTGGTAACGTAGTGGTCGTTGGTTCGAATCCCACTAGAGAAAAAATTTTTTAATTTTTTTTTATCGCGTTTTTTTCTTGTTTTTGTTATTTTAAATATTTGCTGTGTTTTTTTGCAGTCGCCGGCCCCCTACTTTAGGGTAAAAGTCACGCAGAATGTGAAAATAGAAAGTGCGAGCCCAAATTTGAGTTGATGCAATGCACAAACCGTGGCCCTCCTGTTTGCCGGGATAAATCGCTCCCTCCGTGCTAATAGGTTGGTTGGTGTAGTACGCAAACAGCGCAAGTGCTTTCAACGAAGTAAAGAAGATAATAATAATGGGAATATTGAGAGAAAAATGGGAAAATGTGTATGTAAATGGTCAAACTGCCACAGTGATGCAGCCGAAGTTTGTCTGAAGGCGGTCACCTTTAGCCACTATTAAAACAAAAATACCGCTATTTTAAGGCAGTTATTTACCTGAGCTCATAGCGCGCTACGTATTGAGCACATCTCTTAATTTTCTGACTTCCGGAAAGTAGTACTTAATTTTGTTCTGGCACATCAGTGATATCCATCGCCTGCCCCCTGGTTTTACTTATTGAGGTTGTGCTCCGCAATTTTACTTTTTTATTAGGCCTATAATGTTTTTATTCCTGAGATCGAAGAACAGTGCGGATAAATAAACTAGCTTTCAGAAACGGTATCGTTCGGTGTGATAACATTTATGTTTTGTAGCGCCAAGGGGTCACATTCACAAACCCGGCAGTGTAAACACCCTCAACGCCTTTGTGTTTCCCGTTTTATCGTGTTAAAAAAAAAATGTTTTTATATTTACTTTTTTTTGGTGCGGTATGTCGTATAACATAAGCTATCGGGGACAGATCATCTGACTATGTGAACATTTGAAATCTTTCTGTTAGATGGTCGTAGCTACCACAGAAAATAGTCGATTCTTGCCTGAAATAGCATATTTTCACACTAAATTAAAATCACCAATAACATGATCTCAGGAAAGTTGTGCACATCTCGCAGCGTCATAAGCAAAACACACATCTCTTTCTTGTCCAGATTCTGCAATGTAATGCAAATTATTGTTTTTGTAACTCAAAGCGCGTGCTCAATCATGCCACGTGTTTGTTAATCGTGGTTGTTGTTCTTCACTCGGATTCTCCGCTATACCGTTTTTATTTTATTTTTCTTGTCAGTGCCAAACACGTGCGTATACCACCGACCTTAAGTATAGTGCATCAAATTAAAGTAGTTTCCTGAAAAGGTGTCGTTCGGTGTTGTGTAATTTATTCTTCATAGCGTAGGTGGTCAGAGTCTCGAATCCTGAACTGCAAATGTTCCACGCCGCATTATTTTTTCTCGCATTTTCGCGATAAAACACGTCAGCCCTGCCATGCTGGGATCAAATACACCAGCGTCGGCAGTTATTTGCGAAGGATTGATCTACGCAAATATTTCCACTCGCTATTCATGAATTGCCACAGTTCGTCAAAATCTGGAGGACTTGACTGCATAGTAAAAACGGAAAAAAAAGATAAACGATGTCGGTTAGTAAACGGAACTTCCATGGCGGGGCTCGCCAGCCTGAACAGCAAAGCGCCGATGCCGGCCAGTCACTGAACTTCCGTGTAAATACTGGCCATCAAAGACAGCAAAGTGCCGATGCCGGCCAGTTACTGAACTTCCTTGTAAATACTGGCCATCAAAGACAGCAAAATACCAATGCCGGCCAGTTACTGGAACCTCCATAGAAAGACTGGCCAGCAAAGACAGCAAAAACCCGATGCCGGCCAGTCACTGTAACTTCTTCGGCGGAACTGGCCAGTGAGCAAGACGAAACCCCGACGCCGGCCGTGGCCGGTAGCTCACCGGCGCCAATGGCCGGGCGCCGCCATCCTGTTACCGGGACCGGCCGGCGTAGTCCCGATACCGGCCGACGCGGTGTGCTACCTGGGCGCGCGTTCATGCGGGCACGCAACCTCTTCCAAGATTTTCTACCGATTTTGTAAGAAGTCATAAGACCCCCTAACCCCCCCACCCCCTACCCCCCTTCCCAACCCCCAACAACAATAAACATTGCGCAAGATGATGCCGCAGAGAAAAATAAAATCTAAGGGTAAAGAAAAGAAATTCATTTTTTCGTGCTCTTTTTGTATCATTCTGTCTGTAAGGATCCACCTTATACCCTGATACTAAGGTAAAAAGTTTTCACGGAGAATAGACGGATTCTTTGATTTACGCGTGCATTTTTTTCACCTTTGCCAATATTCTCTAACTTTAGTCACCAAATTTTAATGATTATTTTTTGTGAGGAAGGTGTATGTTTAAATCTATGATACAAGTTATCCTCGTGTAACTCTTTTGTTGTTTTGTAGTTAATGAAGCAAGCTTGCTAATCACATGAAATAAATCAGTTTGCTTCTATTTCGGCATTTTAATGTAAAAATATAGTACACAATAAAAAGGTCAATACCAAACGTTTGGCATACACTGACTCGGCGAATACAATATCACGGTGATTCCGAGAGAATGACCTGTTTATTCATAAGAACGTCCGCGCGTCCCATATTTAAAACGACGGGACTCCAGCACTACTTCGTTACCATTCGCCGTAATTTAAGTGCCCGTGTACGCTTGAGGCTGACAAGAAACCGAAGCGGTGTCGAAGGTATTTCGCGGTGGAGGCTGGATAACTGAAGACCCTCCCGCTTTCATCCTGTCAGTGACAATAGAGCAAAACTTACGGCACACCTTGCCGCTGATAACCTTCGCAGGAGTAAGAAGGAACGGTTTTCATTGCAGCTTAAAAGCGAAATATTTTTTTTCTGAGCAAAAGTTGTTTCCTATATAAGGGCATATGTAGTATGTGGAAACAAATAAAATTTTACTCTGTCCGGTTTGATTTCAATAATTCTCAAACTAAACGGATGTGAAACAAAGAAACCGGTAAAATTGTTTACTATACTTTCTAAACATTCAGTCGTAAACCTACAAAAAAAAATGTTTTTCCACATTCGATAAGGAGTGCTTGAAAACAACTTACGGTATTTTTCTTTTCAGAAAGATATTCAAAATGCACTGGACCGTTCAAAACACTTGTGACACTGTTACGCGTAATTGACCAAAGACGTTGTTACTTGGCAGCAGATTTTTGTTTCTCTGAAATTCCTTGTCTTGAAAACTTGACGCACATAACATAAATATTTAAATTAGGCGAGCTATCCACGTTCATTATTTTCAATACGTAAAATCTCAGATAGAAAACAAAAAGACCAGCAGCGTAAAATATGTGGCACTTGTGAAGGAAAACACGTATGGGTCATGCGAAGCAAAATATCAGTCAAAAGAATTTAGTAGTACTTGTTTTATTTTAATAAGCGTGCACTAAGCAGGAACGCTTTTCTTTTTTTTCTTTTTTTTTCTTAGGTGTAAATGTTGGAGGGCGTAAACATTTGAGTGAGCTTTAATTGGCGCTGGAGGCAACGTCGTCTTGGAGCGCGGAGTATATAAAGGGTGGTATCTTGCCTCAGTTCATCAGTTCGAGCTTCCCCAGCAAGACTAACTCCTCCAACCATGGTAAGGTTTTAATTTTGATTGCAACTTCTGAAGAAAAATAACACCCCTCTAAAGCGGGAAATTTGTTATTGTGGCTGTCAACCAAAACAGCGACTGCAAAGAACAAAACGGTTTCAAGTGTATCCAAGCTGTAAGCAGCACAAAACATTTGCGAAATCACTATTCGCGTATTTATTTTGATGGTCATGTCCACTCATAATAGCAACATGATTATATCAATTTGATCCCGGCGACGTGATCCCTAGTTACTTATAACTCAATAACTAACTTCCGATTTCTGCTCATATAGGCGTTCTAGCTAACTCCTCAACCTCTATTTAACCGTGTTTATTACCCTTAACCTAGCCTACCTTAATATTTTATTTTATAATCTCTGATGACTATTCGTTCGCGGTGTCGAAATGCGTGATCTTTGTGAAGAGAACAATAATGTTTCTTTGTAGCAGCAGCAGTATTTTAAAGTCTTCTGAATAAATCATTCATAACAAATAATATTAGCCCACTTTTGAATTTTGCAGAGCCACTTTTTTATTCTTATAATTTTATTTATAACTTCAGCCCGAACAGTCATGTTGTGACCGTGCTTATTATAGGCTCAAATTTACATCGTTAAACAGCTACCTTATGTGCGATCTTAAGTTTCCTTATAGATACACCTTTCTCCTCGCTATATCCCAAGTAGCACAACTCGCCGGTTTGGGACTGGGGCGGTACCGGTCTGCCGGTAAGATCCTACTGGGGCGACGCTGGAAACGCACCGCGGGGCGACAACGGGCCAGTGAGATTGCCAGTCACTGGCCAGTGACTGGGACTGACTGGGACGCCCGGCACCGGGCGTCCCAGCGAGTTCCCGGGATGCTGCCAGCACAAATCCCCAGCGTAGTACCAGTAACGCGGTAAGATACCAGCAAGACCCCAGGCTAGCGTCCTCAAGCCAGAGTCCCCGGGCTTGTTTTGTCCCAGCGAGTTCCCGGGCTGCTGCCAGCACAAATCCCCAGCGTAGTACCAGTAACGCGGTAAGATACCAGCAAGACCCCAGGCTAGCGGCCTCAAGCCATACAGTTCCCGGGATGCTGCCAGCACAAATCCCCAGCGTAGTACCAGTAACGCGGCAAGATACCAGCAAGACCCCAGGCTAGCGGCCTCAAGCCATACAGTTCCCGGGCTTGTTTTGTCCCAGCGAGTTCCCGGGCTGCTGCCAGCACAAATCCCCGGTGCACTACCAGCAGTACCGCAAGACACCAGCAAGACCCCAGGCTAGCGGGCTAAAATCGTACAGTTCCCGGTCTTGTCATACAGCCTAACATGTGGTTTTGTGTGCAATTTACACCTGAATAGAAATGATGTAGTTCATAAGAAGAATAATTTTAACAACAAATGAGTGTAAACAATTATGTTGCACTGTACATGAAAGTAAATTTCTGGCATAGGTATACACCTTATTGGTAAAGCGGCTGCCACAGCCATTTGTCGCTCATACACATGATAGCAAATAAAACATACAAAATTGTTACCGTAATTGTTTATTGTCAGCTCCAGTGAAGCTACAGCTTGGCTGGTCATCATGGGCTTGTCGCTAGAGGAGTGCGCTGGATGAAAGAGGCTGCATGTCACGGGCCTAGGAAATGTTCTTCACACTTTTCATGCAGCTTGTGATGCAAGTCGACCATGCACCCAGGAAGGGGAGTCCTTCATTAGAGCACCTGCAAAGAGAATCAACAGCACAGTAAAATGACAGGGTAAATCAATACCAGCTGCACATGATAATCCAGAAATTCCAAACTGGGCAAGCGCTTAAAAGGTTAAAACAGCGCAAAGGACGACGGACAGGGTAAAGGACACGGACAGAGCGCTGACTCGAAACCAAATTTTCATTGAACTCAACGGCGCAATATATACACACTATTGAGAACAAAAAAAAGAAAATCAGCCTGAAAAACACCCAAAACAAAAGCACAAAAACTAAGTAAGTATCACCTCTAAAAAGATAAACCAAGCTAATCAAGTGGCCAGAAAACCAGAGGCATGAGACAGAAGCCCATGTAAAAGAAAAACTTTTTGTAACCAATGCGTTAATTGTCTTCATTTCATTTTCAATCTGGAAACTATATCAAAACAAAAATACTTTGATTGCCCTAAGGGACACCTGTTACAACACACTGGATAACCAAGCGGCAAAAATGGCCCAGTTATCTCATAATCAAGGTTAGCTATTTGCATGAAGAAGGCCCACGTCAAAGAAAGGCTCGTGGAAATCATCTACTTTAATTCAAAAGGGCATGTCGAGAGACGGGCAAACTCGCCGGAGTAGTTGGCATGTAGTTTAACATTGCCGTTCGTCCCGATAGGGGCGAGAGATCCAGCATTTTTAGGTAAATATAGCGATTCATTAGTATTACTGAGACAATGACAAATCATATCCTTGACATATTCGCGACCCTAGCAAAACGGACAGCACCAAGCGGGAAAACCGGGAACCAGCCAGAACAGGTCGCTCTGCGCCTCTCCACGTCTCTGGCGGCTTTCGCGGACACGTGTTGTCGACGCGGTGGCAAACAATGTAATTTGATGAAGGTCTGAATATTTCTCAAGTTTGCCTGAGTGTTCATCAGTGTGATGAAGCCTCAGTAAATTGTTTCTTTCTATCACGTGTTTGAAAGCCTGTTTACTCCACAACACACATTCGCGTGCTTTTAATTTCTTGGATGGGGAGGAATCAAGGAAAAACGTTTTGATTTCTTCTCTGGCTCGAATGACATTCAAAGTGACAACTACTCGGTAATTGATAAGTGGTATGTAAAACAGACGAGGTGTTTCACTGGAGGGAACCCCAATGCTGCAGTCAAGTGAATGGGAAGGTTCAATAGCTGCTTTTCTTGAATTTGGCTGTGTTTGATTAGCGTCAAGATTGAGCCACCCACGCTGGTCGGTGCATTGGCTATTCATCTTGGCAGCTTTTCACCGAAAAAGCCTCTGGACCACACCGAAAAAGTTGGGCTGATTTCGCATCTACTTGATTCTCGAAAACCTCCTCGCTGCATACGATTAATGAGGGATATTGTCTGCTTTCAAAAAATGGGGGACGCGTCTCGCAAAGTTAGAAGCTGTCACGACATTATGATCTATTGCGCCTCCAATATTTATAATATACCCTCGTTGAAGCCAGCAGCAATATTCGTCTACATTGCTCAGGTTGTCCGGCCACAAAAGATACTCTCCTTCTCCATTCAGGATTTGAAGTCAAGTTTAATGCAGAGGGGTTCTGCGTGAATCTCCGATGAAGACTCTCTTCAAATTTGTCCGCAATCATCTCCGTGCTGCCGGCTAGAACCATATGGCTGAGTTTAGGTAGTATCTCTCCGTCTGTCAAATATACTTTGATTCAGCAGTTCACCTAATAGCTTGTCAAGTAAGCTCATATTTCAGCCCAAATAATATACTAATATCCCTTTAGTGGGACATGGTACATAATATAATGCATAACCCGCACATTCGTCAAAATGACTTCGATTGCCACTAAAACCTGAGTTGAAATACGAGTATCAGCTGCTTAGTGGGGCTCAAGAAGCTCAAGCTTGGCTCAAGAAGCGCTTGCTTAATTTTCGTAATTTTCCTGCAGCCTGTGTTGCTGATCGAGCAGACGACTGGAGCTGTTTCTTGATACGCACAAAAGCTCGATTTCGCCGACAGATAAGTCGTATGGTCGAGTGATGCGAGGTAGTTGAAAATTACTGTCGGTGGAACAATTCTGTAGTCATCGCTGCTTTCCTTACCTGATCAAAACTGATTAGAGTCTATTACCGTCTCTCCGGAGCCCATAGTTTCGGTAATGAACGAAACCTCCGAAACAAAAGTTTGACATGAAAAGAACAAAAAGCACCGGGAAAACAAAACTATGCTCTGCAAGTTTATCTGCACCGGCTACACTTAACCGTCGCAGTTGAAATACCTATAAAATAGGGCATTAAACAAAAGAAAATCTGTTAAATTGAATGCGCTACCCGTTCAGGCGGCCCGGCCGAGCCGACGCGACCTGTTCCCAGCCGCCATGTTTGTTTGGTGGTGGCGCCCCCTATAGATCGTTGGAGTCGCGAATACAGCTCATTGTTGTACACATACTAATGAGATTGGGTAGACACATGTAAACATATAATATATTGCAGAGTATGGCCCCTGTGTTCCCACATAATGGCAACCTGACTAAAACTCATCTGCAGACTTCACCAAATAAAAAATAGCGACTTACCCAGAAACTAGTATATATTATTAGCGTCTACCATAAACTCACATTGAGTGTTTACCATCGGCATGCCCCATAGCCCTTGAAAACGCCCGCAAGCCTCACTTACTTTAAGCATATGACATCATATGACAAGAAACATTCCCTCGTGATCATCATTAATATCTACAGGTGCGAACAGTTCAGGCAAATCAATAGAAAGATAACAAATCAGTAGTGAGGTGGTGTACAGTGGCTGGTAGGTGCAGGTTAATATGAATGGGACATCTATTTTCTGAGTAATATTGCTTATCTGGTCAATTTTCTTCACAGACCCATCACATACTGAGACAAGGTTCTCAATACAGTGAAAAACAGGAAGGAGGAGTGAGTTCCAGATTTAGCTTTGCACAAGCTGTGTGGCAACTGACTTCATCCTCTTAGAATTTATTGGAGTGGATCTGGGTATGATTATGTCTAGCCCAACAATACTGCTAGGAGCACCTTCAAAACCTTCAGAAAGGGGTAGAGGAAGTTTGAATCATAATTTCCGTATTGCGATGAGAGCTGCTCATACTGAGAATTGATGTGAGCCAATGTCGGCCATCCTTCTGCCTGAAATATCTATGTGTCAGCCACCCCCTATCAGAAAAAGTTTTAGCTGAGCGCTTTTTACGGGCCGCTCCGCTCAGCCACTGAGCAGGAAAGTAACCAGGCACGCACGTAACGCTCAGTCGGCAGAGGTCATCGGGGTGCAGGAGTTGTCTGCTCCATCGGCATC